GTGGTGTGTGTGTGTGTGTTGTGTGTGTGTGTGTGTGGTGGTGTGTGGTTGGTGTGTGTGTGTTGGTGGTGTGTTGGTGGTGTCTGTGGTGGTGTGTGTGGTGTGTTGTGTGGTGTGGGTTGTGTGTGTGTTGTGTGTGTGTGTGTTGTGTGGTGTTGTGTGTTATATATAATATCCCGAGTCCCTGAGAATTTGCGCAATTAATTCTATTAAGTTAATGTGGTTTTTAATCTGCGCAATTTTCTTAATTGGCGTAAAAATTAGCGTGAACTAAAACGTTGCGCCTTGCAAAGAGGACCTACTTAAGTCCCCATATGGCTATTGACCTACAGTGAGTTGATGCAGGTAATGAGTCTGTTGTTGTTTGGAGCACATTGTTATCAGTTTGCACTTGCTTCTTCGACTTCTGGCGAAACCAACCGGAGCACTTACCTCTAAAACAAAATCTATTTTAATTTTTTGCCTGCCTCCTTCTTCAGCTATTTCGTGTGCCAACAAAACGTTTATACGTTTTTCCTTAAAGCGCTATAGTGGCGTCGTGTAGTTCGGGATTCATTGTGTGTGTGTGTGTGTGTGAGAGAGAGAAAAAAAAAAAAAAAGTTTATTGTACTGTTTTGTCTGAAGTACATAAAAGGCTTGGGTATACAAAAGCATGGAGAAACAGAGATCTGTCCTCTGCGTTGAGTTCAGTGCCAGCTCATTTGGCAGTGACGTTACTCGTAACATTGCAGCAGGGTCCGCTCTAAAATCGCCCGCTGCAGGGGCTCTCAGAAGCCCGCAGCTTGCTTTTCATTTCCAAACAATCAAATTGAGCAGGTTTTCACTTCCGCACTGTGGGATCAGGACAATATTTCCAAACTGCCTTCAAAAGTCACAGTTATAGGGACGTAACAGTGCATCAGTAGTGGAGTGTACGCCACTGTACTCAAGCTACCGTGCGTCAGCGTCCATTCAGCCCATACAGGAGTGTCAATGACGTTGAGTGTGAAGCTGCTGCATCATGGCGTTATGAGACTACAGGAAACACTCACACACACACACACACACACACACACAAAGTCTGTTCTATTGAGCTGAGTCATGGAAGGCGCAGCTGACCAAGCTCTACAACCAGACGTCCAGTGTCCTGTCCTAAAAGTGTTCAACTGTTTACATGTATTCACAGAACATGTGTTTGTGCGCTCAAAATTATGTGGGTGTTTTCACCTCCACGTGTGTTCCCGTGGAGCGGAAGGTGACCAGCGCTCCTACTCAGTCGTCCCGTGACCGCTCGGTGCTTGGTGCCCGGTGTCCTGTGGCCAGCCAGTGGGCAGTGCTGTCAGTGATACCCACCCATGAGCCTGACTCACATCATAAGGCCCCCATTGTGTTCACAGGCTGGATTGGGTCTCGCTCAGCGTGTCATTCAGCAGCCACTTGTATAACCAGGAGACATTCTGGTGCCTGCTTCTCTTTCTGGTGCTTACTTTCTTGCCAGCCACACAGAGCCACTCTCTGTTCTGTCCCTGGGTTTTTTTAACTTTAATTTAGGAGGTTTTACCAAAGCTCCCTCTCCTAGCGCCTACTCAACTCCGCACAAAGTCAAATTGATTTATGTGAGAACAATTGTGGCTCTGAGTACTTAGACGATAGTGTCCACGAGTTCACATGGTCCGCTTTGTTTGTTTACATTTATGAATGTACTTGTCAGGGACAGCAAGGGCCTCCATGTGCCAGAGTCATCACGTGGTTGGCAAATCATTCGGCAAAGACATAACATCAGACCGCCTGCTGGTTTGTGAACAAACAGATGAATGGAAATCAAAGTGAGAATAGAATTCACAGTTGAAGTTTGTTGTCGTCGTAACATCTGCGCTCGCTTTCTCTCCAGCATTCAGTCGTTTGATCGTCTTCTATTTAAGGAGAACATGTTCAGGAACAATGTTCTTGTTGTATTCTCTACAATGCCTCAAGAATATTTCTGTCTTGCACGCCGATTGGTTGATATATGTATTTTTCCCTGTGGATTCACAACAGTCTAAACTCTCTTGAGATGATGGAATAAAGCTAAATTATTGATGTGTGGGCGGATCTGAAGCGTCTTTATAGTCATAGCCAAGACATGATCATCAGCATCTCAGATAAACACTTCCTTCTCTCCTCTTTTTTTCCCCCTTGTCCTCCCTCAGATGTGCGTGCCGCCAGGGAGCAGATGCACATCGGGGGAGTGACCTATCCCACGCTGCCCCTGCAGGAAGCTCTGCCCCGCCCCCATTCAGGTTATGGCCAGCACTCTGCCGCCTGCTCTCCAGCGGGCTCCTTCGCCGGGTCTCTGCCCCCTCCTCAGCCTCACAGTGCCTACTTCAGTGGGATGACCGGCCCTCAGCACCCCTTCTACAACCGGGTGAGACAGGAAAATAACTCATGTGTACATAACCAGTCCTCATTCACTACCTAGAGGCCAATAAGTGTCTGTGTTAAAGTAGAAAAGCAAAACAATTTGGTAATTTAAAAATGAAGTCAATACATGTGTCACTATCTTACAGCGACCAAAAGAGCACATCCTGTGACACCCACAGATCCTCACCACCTCACTGATCTCAGACGTTATTATAATGTAGCATCAATTTGACCCACTTGGCAGTTAAATACATTGCAGTTAACAGGTCTTTAAATGTACCACATGACCATGGTTTTTCATTACCTCACTGAGAAAGGCAGTCTTTTCCCTGCAGCATGTTGGTTTGTGTGTGTCTGACCTCCCTCATGATTTACATTTGATTTGTCCCCCCTTCCCCCTCCCCTCTCCTTCCTTTTCCCCCTCATAGCCGTATTTCCCCCATCATGTGTATCACATGCCTCGGCCTTACTCCCACCATGTCCCCCCATACTCGCGTCCCTCCATTAAACCACCTGGTCAACTTAAGGACAACCCCAGTGGACTTGTAAGTAAAGAAGCATTGCTAGATCCAACTTGAATTTGTTTCTTTTCTCACACCTAATCATTACAGCTGCAGATTTGCTTTTTAAAGTATATAATGCAACAATATTGTGTCTATAATGCGATTGAAAGGTAAAATATTTTGTTGTGCTTTTCTGACTCTCTTTTACTGTTATTTTCCCTCCTTCTTTACTCAATGTTTCCTAACAATACCAATTAAAAGTGATCTTATCACATTTGTATTATTAATTAAATTGCAACAATTAAACTTACAAACGCTTAGGATGTAGTGCTATTTAGGGTCTGACATGGCACTCATTTTTTCAGTTAATAATACTTCATATAACCTTTATTGTAGAGCTATTATTAACTTAGGAATTTATTTTTTTAAACGTCATTCTTAATAATAAAAGGAACACCTAATTGCCATGGTGACCTGAAAACAGCCAACATTTACCCTGCAGGTAGCAGGTGCGTATTATATTGACTTATTTTGTCAGGTCCATTGTGCCTAACTACTAGCATGACTTTTTGACCACTTTTTTTACAACACTTCCTCTTTAAGAAGCACTTTCCTCCCCTTATCTCCCTTTACTCATTGCAATGTGTCATGTTTTACCCGTCCACACCATGTTCGACTGATCAGCTCTTAACGCTGGTGGTATTTCTCAGTGTGAGTCCAGGGAAATGCAATGAGATGTTAAAATGAGTTCAACCATCACTAGCCTTTCTTTCTATTCAGCACTTGTCTCCATTCTGTGCCTATGTCAGGATGTTATTGCAGAGGATGCCAGAGAAGGCCTCCCTTCATGTCCCTCTGATCCCACCATGGTAACATGTAGTTGTGGAGCACTACGGATATGCTTACATATGCAACCAGTTCTTCATAACCTGCATGTTTGCAAACCTCGTTTGTCATTTCCTTTTGTTGGATGTAAAATGCATGACTACATGTTTGACAGACTACTTGTTTTGTTGCTGTGATCAACAAAAGCCGAGAGAATACATTTAGACGGTTGCACACGCTGCAGAAAGCTTACATTAGATACTGTTTCCGTCGCGACTCTGACCACCCGCTATCAAGAGGTGTTCTTTTTTTTGGTCGCAAGATTCAGCATATGTAAATGTAACATGCTGAATGAAGTCCACTCTGATGTTGGCGCAGTAGCTGTTCCCGTTCTCCTATAAATGGACATAAAAGTGTTGTTAAGCCACTTCACGAATGCATGGAGTTGCACTGACAAGAGCCCAATCCCTACACCAAGATACATTCACACATTTTATGAGAGAGCAGACACTATTAGAACAATTTCATGATAACACTACTCGAGAGATTTCTGCTCCACAAAGCCACTTATCAGGCCGCTGCCAGAAAGCTTTTTAAAGGAGCTGTTTGAAAGATTAAATATAGATTATTTTGTAATGTTCATTCCATTCTCAGTCTGTATTTTTGCTTCATCCCTCCTCCTTCTCCTAAACCTTCCTCACTCTTATATTTTAACACCCTTTTCTGTTCCTCGTATCTCCCCTCATGCTTTTGCGTCCTTTCCCCCTAAGTATACATTTCTTCAGTTTCTCTCATTCTGGCTTTTCTATGTACATTAGCCCATCTTATCCTCTTTTGGGTCCCACTTGATCTCTTTGTGTAGTGTTCACATGTGCCTGTATTTCTGCAAATCTGCAAATGTAGACGTGTGTGCACCGTCGCTCATTTATGCAATTCCTTGGATATGTAAGCAGGCCTAGCCCAGTGTAATTGCTTAGCTGATATAAGGGTGAGTATGGATTCCTCGGGCTGCCGGGATTATCATCAGAGCAACTGTTGGGGCTGGCAACACACACACACACACACACACACACACACACACACACACACACACACACACACACACACACAATGAGCCCAGCGCTGGTAGGAGAGCTTATCTCCTTACCAAGACGCTTCCTCCCTCACAGAGCTCTGTTTCCTCTTCCCCATCCTTCTGCCCAGCCCTGAGCTCAGCCCAGCTGTAATTACAGTCTTATCACACACACACACACACACACACACACATACAGACACACCCGCAGACATATACGCTTTCGCTCAAGTTCTCAGAACACACGCTTGCAGTCTGAATCGAGGAGTCGTATTCGCGGTCTTCCTTGAATTGAAACTTCTGCTTTTTTCTGTGCAGAGTGTGAGATGTCTCATTTTCTTTTTCTGGGTCTTTCTCTCTGTCTCGCCAGTATTTCTTTCTGTCTGCAAAGATTATGACTGCAAAAGCCTGCTGACTCCCCTGAAAAACAAAATCGCCTTGTGTAATAATTCTGCTTTCAATAGCCTCTTCTAGTCTGGCTGCTGTGAAGGAGCCGTCTCCCCTCCTGCTGGGAGACAGACAAATGTCTGTCTGCTCTGTGGTCAATGTTTCTCCTGTCCCCTGATGATGGGTTCAACATGTGTGCTTGTCCGTCCGTCTCCCTCCCTTTTTCCACAGGTGCAGTCCCGGCTTCACACTTTCATGAATGTCTGTGTGCATTTGTGTCTGACTTTTTGTCCGTCTGCTTTTTTTGTCTCCATTTTAAGCATTTAAAGTCGCTGCCTTACAAATTAAAGCAGGTACATCTCGGTTTACTTTCATCTCTGCATCCAGCCCTTGAATCCATCTTCCATTTACTAATTCCTAACACACTGATCCACTACTACCAAGCATGCTGTAGAAAGATGTATTACAGACTCATCACTTGGAAGCAGACACGGCTTCACACCCTGCGATAGATCAGTAGATTCACTAACATAGTTTCATTCTAGAGTAAATCCAACTGTGTAGACACGACCATTAGCTAAACTCCCCGAGGGCTAATCGCCATCCTCTTGCCCACCACTGTAGAAAGTTGGCACCTATTATTGTGTACTGTATTGTGTGAGCTGCTTGTTTTTTTTTTTGTCCAACAACCACTCACAGTCCGACTAAGCTCTGCTCTTCTCTCCCTCCAAACCAGAAACAAAGCCGGGGGGCTTAGTCTGAAGCCTTGTCTTAATGGTGTTAATAGCCTAGAGAGGGAAGAGATGGCGAGGGAGGGAGTAGGAGGAAGAGTTGGGGGAGAGTGATGGAAAAGGGAGCAAAGCTGAGAGGGAAGGAATGTGAGAGGAAGGAAGGAAGGGAGGGAAGGAAGGAACAAGAGTAAGGCTTCAAGACAAGCAGAGGGACAGGGGTGAGTGGAGAAAGGGAGGGGAAGGAGATGAGGTTTGTTTAGTTTTGTGCCAGCCGGTGGCTTATTGGCTGTCTGTGAGGCCTTTGACAGCATCAACAGGCCGCCCCTATTACTCACATCAAGCCCCGTACTGTGGTGTGGCAACTCACAGACTTACAGACTCCATCCTTTAAGTGTTGTGCACACACACTTTACGTGCTTATCTAAACACTGAGAAAGAGAATAAGAGCAGGTAACAGTGTATTTGGAAAGGTTGGCAGCTTTGTTTACTTTTACACTTACACTGTGTGACTGATAGAGAGAATGAGTGTGTGGGATAGTGGTCATGCACCTCTGTGTGCCTCACAGTAACAGGCCTGCACGTGCCTTTGCAAGGAGTCGTTGCTCGTTGTGCCCTAATCAAGGTTTTATGAGTTGGTCTAACAGAATTTGCAAGTTTTAACTCACAAACAAATCCTTAATAAGTTGTTTATACTCTGTGTGTGTAGGCCTCTTCTGCGGCCCTGCTGAGCTCCATGAACACAGATGCAGTGTGTGAGCGGCTCAGGCAGTTAGATGGAATCGACCCCAGCATGCTGCCTCAATACGCCTCCACCATCAAGAAGGTGAGCTGTCAATAACTTTCAAAATTGGATCCATTTTCTCAGATGCTGTTTTCTTTTCATACTCGTTGCATAGCTTCATTCACCGCTGCCTTTGATTGAATTTGCTTCTTTTTTTTTGGCTTGATGAAATCTTGCACATGTTGGTACATACAAGTCAATCAGTGGAGAAACTGTCAATCCGTCTCCTTCATTGCAGGCCAATATAAATGGCCGAGTGCTCTCTCAGTGCAACCTGGACGAGCTGAAGAAAGAAATGGAGATGAACTTTGGGGACTGGCAGCTCTTCAGGGGAACGGTGAGACAACGTTTTTCTTTGAGCCTCTTTACTATGCCTAATATTGTTGTTTCCCATCTAAATAAATGGGCCATCACCACCAGAAATGATAAAGAATCAATCCACCAACCACAATACTTAACTCCTAAAAAACTCTTAGTCTTAAAATAGATTTACAGCAACACACATTCTCCCCACTCTGTGATGCTTTGCAGACACTCAGCACTGCCATGGTCTCCTGCTGATATGTCATCTCTTGTTTATTCCAATAAGAAGCAACACAGTATCTTGTAATACGACATCTTGTGCTGCGCTGAGAGATATTGGGATGGAGATTTTATAATCCGTATTACCATCAGGGCTCTCGTCTGTCAGCCAGGAGTCCAGTCAGCTGAGCCGGGGCTGAAATGACTTAACATGTATCTAGCTTCACTTCATCAGATGTCTGTCTGCACTCCTAATTCTAAACCACAGCTTGGATTGGTCGTGTTTTACCAGAGATCCAATGCAGAGCTCTTGTAGGAGCAGCTGGAAAGTGCAGCGGTCTAACAGTGAAGTGCTGCCAGGACACAGCCAGCACAGACATCTGGTTCAAGATGGCTGACTGCTATCTGGAAGAAGGGAGGTTTTGTCAGGCAGGAGTGGACGTCTCTTCTTAAGCAGCAGCTCACTCTCACAAGTGCATGTTCTGGTTGTTGCTGCCTAACACTTTTTGTATTTAAGAAATGGACTCAAACTGACAGAAGTCAAAGGACGTGTTGATAGGAAATATGGATTGTTTTCATGTCTTTTCTAGGTGATGGAGCTACGTCATGCTGAAAGCCACGCTCTGATCCAAGAAGAGTCCCGAGCTGCGAGCGAGCAGGGCAGCAGCGTGCACCACGGGGAGCCCAGCAGGCGCTCGGGGGGGGCCCAGCATGAAGCAGCGGCCTTCAGCCTGAACCTCAGCTTCGAGGAGCTGAGCGGAGCGGGGCTCGAGGAACCTCCGAGACACAGCAACAACACACACTGGCCGGTCAGTCTTCCTGTCAGGAGCTCAGTGGAAACGTACCAGCAGATAGTGTTAGACAGACGTGAAATGGGTGTATGCACATAATACCAACACGTATACGTCTGCAGAAAGACAAGAGGCATTCAAGTTGCTGATGCAAGTATACATGTGATCGTGAAACACAAAATCGCAAATGGAATCACAAGGTCATACACCCCCAAGCTGTTGCATGGCCACAATGGGCAGAGTGCTGGTAACCTCACTGGGTTCATATTAATGTGGTTTTGAAATGTGAGAAAAGGGCAGGGCAGAGGAAGCTTATGGTGATCTTTAACATTGCCAAATTAAAAATACACCCACTGCAGCACACCAAAATGTGTCAAGGGCCTTCCCCCTGTTCTTTTTCACCTTCTCTATTTCCAATTTACAAAACCTCTGAGGCACGAACAAACACTCACAGGCTGCCTGCTGCTATTTTATACCATCTCACCTTTCAATATTCAAATGATCCAACACCAAAAACACAACACAGCTTTCCCATGTTCTAAATATTCCATTAGTTGATAATTGTTGAATTTTTGCACCCTTTTTATATGTATTATATTCTGGTGTCAGCTTATCAGCCTAAAATCATTCAGTTATCTCACTCTTCAAATACTTTTGAAATTAGTATATTTATAACAAACTTTCATGAAATCTAACTTTCTCTCATCTTGTCAGGTTGCAAATGTTCGTGCCTCGAGCATGTCCAGCCTCAACTCTCAGGAATCCTCTAATGACATCTGCAAGCTGACAGACAAGCAGCAGGCGGAGTACCATGACGCCTACAAGGAATACATCGCTCAGATGGCCCAGGTGGAGATGTCCGGCACCGGGGGTGAAAGGCCGGTGCAGCCCCTACCGGGACAGTTCCTCCAGGCTGCCAGCTCAGAGGACAAAGGGGTGGGTGCACAGTGACCGGTGCTGAGTTTTTGCCATTGTATCGCTGACAGTATGAACTGTGTAGAAGCTCCCACTGCCAGATCAGTGTGGTAATCATAGGGACACTTCCCCCACTAAAGGACCATTTGTATAACAACTACTCTCTTATTTGACCTTGAATTGTTGAAGAAAATGTTTCTCGCATGTCTTTACTGGTAAACTAAGAATCCAAAAACAGAGAAAGGTCTTGATGAATGAAAGGAACATTTGTAGAGTGAATTGAAGAACCTGAACTGCAATTTCTTTTTGCTAAACCCTCACTATTCAAAACATTTAAATGGCACTCATTTACTTGGATTCATCAAGACTTTTCTTTGTGTTTTGTTTCTTTTTTCACCATGGAATGCAATAAACCCTTTTTTCAATGAGAATTGTATATAATACTTGAGTAGTTTTGCAAATTGTATTTTTGTAGGGGAAGTACTGATTTTAGTTCTCTAAAACTTTATATAAATGATCTCTGGCTTGTGCGATGGCAAAGTCTATGCTGGGAAAGGGGAGATTGCTCCTTCTTACGTTTCTTAATTATTGGCTTATAGTCTTTGTTTCTCTTGGCACATCCAGGAGGGAGAAGAATCCCCTCTTCAGGGCCTCTTGGCCAATCGCACTAGATTCTGTATATTCATATTCTTCTCTTTGAATCCTCTTCCCTCTCTGCAGGCCAAGGAAGGCTCTGACCAAGACAGCCGCAAGTCCTTCAACAAGAGAGGCTCCAAGGCTAGTGACGCCACGGACTTCTCCTCAGGGGCCGATGCCCTGCCCCTAGACCCCATCAGTGAAGAGGACGAGAAGCTGGACCACAGCACATCGTCCAGGACGCCGGGCTCCAGGAAGAAGGGAGCCGGGTCTCTGTACCACAAGCTGCCCAACGATGAAGACTCCGGGCCAGAAGAAGCGGACAACACCACACCTCTCCTCCATGATGAGGATCGAGTCCAGTCCAGCGGGCTGCTGGCCAAGCCTGGCTTCCTCTCCGAAATCCTCCTGGATAAGAAGGACTCGTCGGACTCGGGGATGCGCTCCAGCGACAGCTCCTCAGACCGCTCCCTGGAAGAGGCTGAAGGAGACGGAGAAGCTCTGAAGCCCAGTCTGATCGAGCTGGAGCTGGAGGGCCTGGTGAAGAAGAGAGGCCTCCTGCCCAGCAGCCTGAGCGGCCTGCAGGACGTCCGCATGTCCATCTGCTCCGAGGCCGCGTCCGAGGCCAGCTTCATGGCCAGCAGCCCAGATGAGGGCTGGCCGTCCAGCGGGGTCGGCAATCTCAACTGCACCCCCGGCAACAGCACCCTTAATGACAACGCACACAGCCCTGACGACACTTACACCAACAACAGCCATCTGCAGCCGTCTAGCATCACAGGCACGGAGTCCACCATCTCCTCCTCCAGCATCGACGACTCGCCAGCTGTCATCATCACCCCCGGCAGCAGCAGCACTGCCAACACCACAACTGCAGCCATCCACAACCAGAACCTGCGCACCATCAGCCTGGGAGATGAGATAGAGAGCGCCCTCTGAGGAGCTGCCGACTGTGTGACAAGGGTCACGTAGACTTTTTCATGTTGTTGTTGGTGGCGTTATTGTGCTGTTGGTGTTGTGACTTGTTCCAAAGAACTAGATATTAGGAAAGAAATGTAGAAAGTGTTGCTGTGAATTAAGATTAGTAAACAAAAGCGTAAATTATTTGGTTAGTTAAAAAAATAACTTTTATTTAAACAATTGATGCATCCAAACTACAAGTGGTAATTAATGATACCAAAAATGCTTCAGTCAGGTCAAATTGGGATTGCTTAACTTTCCAATATAATTGGAATATGAAATTATATTTTTTTCATGTGAAGGTGATGCGGTTATGGATATAGTGTGTCTAGTGATGAAATGTTACATGTTGTGGATATCATATTGTTACAGAAAGAAACGTGTGTATTTGAGGAAATGTAGTAATGACCGATAAAAAAAAGGTTCTGTGTTGCGGAAGACTATTGTCTCCGGAGTGTGTGCAGTGGTGTGTTTGGTAGATGGAATGTCTCAAATAGATGACAGTGTACACAGTGGTGCAGTCAGTATGTTCTTGGCAGGTTATGTAGTAGTATAAGTGCATGCACTAGTTTCCAAAGTGATTGTCTTCCAAATTGTGAATGGGTGTTGTGTGAATCAATAAAGATTCTGCTATGTTGACCCTTGAAATAGTTCTCATATTCTATCTTTCTTTCAGGAAAATCAGCAGTTTGTAGAGAAAGGCCCCAGAGATCCTTCACTAAAGAAATTTGATATTTTACCTGATGCAGGTTAGGAGAAAAGAGGTTGACATGCAAAGGGAGGGCGTCACTGCAGGAGTCATGTTCTCCGATAGATGGCGCACTCTCCATACAAACGTGCTGCAGGCTGGAGTCACGGACCCGGCCTGACTGCTATAAACCTCTGAGGGTAACATATGCAGGTCAGTGACTCTCATCGTGGATCTGCAGGGGTCTTTGAGGTACTTTCGTATTTATCTGAAAATAAATCTTCATTTCAATTTACATATGAATGTCCTTTGAATACAGTGTTCATGTATTGTAAAGGTGACTGTTTCTACAGCTTAGGCACTCAATCAAGAAAGATCCCATTAAGTGGTCCCTGGGGAACAATCAGGAAATGGGAGTCCATAGCTAATTTGGCGGGTCGTTTGTGTGAAGACATTTGAGAAGCCATGCCGTATTTAGGAAGGAGATGATTGACAGTTGGGTTTCACTTCAGGGTTATAGTAGGCTATACCAACTTGACGGTACATTGCGCACGGCACTATAATGCGTTGAACATTTAAGACATGCACCCAAAGATTATTATAGAAACTGAATTAACAAGCAGTAGCCTACACCCCAGCATTGCGTGGTTCACTATTTTCATATTACCTGGTCATTTATCACTGGAATTCCATTAGAAACCACAACTATTTCGGAGTGGAATTTAAGGCAAATTTAAACCCAAATTAATGTTTGAAAATAAAATAAAAACCTATGATGGATATTACTTCTGGAATCAGTAACGTGTCTCTGGCCCAGTTTCAGCTTCAAGGTGAATTTCCATAATGTTCCAGTTTTGTTTTAATACAACAGCCTACAGCCCATGGCTATAATGGCTCAGCCAGTCACGCTGAACCATTAAATCCTTTACATAGCATGTGAGAAAGTTAGAGTACAGTGCGCGTTGAATAAGCTTGTATGCAACTTTGTGCCTCCAGGTCGTGTTTGCCTCGGGGAAGTGTTGACGCTGTGTTTTAGACTATAGGTCACATACTGCAGGACTGATAAGGACACTTTGTTGTGGGATCTGTGTTTTGAAGTGCGTCAAATGTTCACTTTACATACAGCACTGCATGTATACTGAAAGTCAGCTGGGAGACGGATTTTACGCACTGGGTTGTCTTCTAAACCACTGACCCCAACCTCCCCCCCCCCACAATGAAACATGTTCAAATTGCGTTTTCGATTTATTTTTGTATAAAAAAGGTACGATTTACATTACTTTTATAAAAAGTTTCAGCATAATTAAGTACAACATTACACTTTTGCAGAAGTTTCAAATTTCTGCAACTATACAAGATAAACTCCCGATAAGAGTTCACAAGGTTTCATTCTTAACTTTTTTTTTTTAAACAACGTCCAGTCCTTCATGTGCCAACAAATCTGACAAGACAAAGACTAAACTTTTTACAGTAACTAACCAAGTTGTCTTTTCTATTCACGTTCCCACCTCCGCAAAAAAAGCGAAGAGATTCAACAAGGAGAGAGGGACGGGGGTGAGGAGGGGAGAGGGGTAATCCTTGTGACAATAATCTCGTTTTTCCTCCCACTGTCGGGAATATAGCGTGCCTTCCATTTCCAGAAAGGACCCACAAATAAAAAAGTCTTAAGTTAAATAATAATGAAGTGTCCAAACAGAAAACACATCACATAAGATTGTCCCATTATAAGCAAAAGTCTCTTGATTTCAGCGTCAGAAGAAACAAGAAAAAAATCCAGGCCTGGAGGACAGAGGTTGGAGGGGGGGGGGGGGGGGGGAAGTCCTGCTCCCCAGGTCCTGTGTGTGTTTTTGCGTCTTGACCAAACACCTGCAAAAGATTGAGAAAGAGAGGCGTGTTTAGAAAATGCAAACAGGGCAGAGATCCGGACAGACTGGCGCCAGGGAGGAAGCCGCAGTTTTTAACATTCAACCAAACACTCCCAATTCCTAAGCAAACCCTGCGCTCCAGATGTACACAGAGAGAGAGAGAGGGAAGGGGGGGACTCGCACACACACTTTTCGCACAACTTCAGCCTACAATCTGGGGAAGAATCAGCGTAATTGCCGCTCAGCTGGCGCCTACCCACTTCTTGTACCAATTATGTGCAGACATCGTAGTAGCAGTAATCCAAACAGCCATTATTTTCCTGTTGCAGATGCTCTTCATTATAGACACAAGAGGGTATAATACAACCCTGACGACTGCTACTTATATACAGTAACCTAAGCAGCCTGGACTAAATATCTTCCATTTCAGTACTCCAAACTGCAAGAAATGTGCCAGCAAAATGTCTTAAAACTGCACATGAGAACATAATTATTCCATTAATCGTCTTCACCATACTGACACATTACAGTCCTGAAGGGGCCCCGTTATGTGGTCTTTTTGTTTCAGATATTGCTTTGCTACAATGATAAATAAAAATCATAAAGGATCACATTTGGAGTCAAGTCAACCCTAAACCTCATAACCTCGGTGATGCAGTGCATTCTCGTGAAAAACATATCGGGACCATTACAGCAACGTGAGACGTCAAACATATTAGCAGGGAACAAATGGATTGGTAAATGGTAATTCTAGCCAATTCTGCTCCAGCAGACTGGGAGACAGGCTGTAGCGGAGCCTCAGAGCCCTGGACAGAATGCAGCAGCAGACATGAGGACAGCCTACTTACCGCTTTAACGATGCAGAGTCCGGCTGTCATCTGTCATCAGCTCTGATGGCAACTCCGGGGACTGAAAACAAACAAACAAACAGACCAAATGTTATTTCTTTACCCGGCAAACGATCGAAGTGTCTGGCTTTGCAAACACTGTTATGTAGGGCGAATCTCTTCCTCATCACATGTACAAAAGAAAAAAAAACATGCCATTTTATTTTCCAACAAGCCATTTTGTGCGAGTTACGCATAGGCTACAAAGGCGCACCGGCTATGCGCACAAATAGAGCTCCACTACACATCTCCCATAGCACACCATCGTTTTCCCAATGATGAATGTTGTTTAGCTGAGGTGTTATTTACCTGTAATGACAATATGCTGATATCTGTGTTGAGGGTGGTCAGAGGGGTCCTGGAAGGAGCTTGCCCCGGCCGCGGAGGGTGATGCAGGCTGGTTAGTGCGACACTGGAGTCCAGCGCGATCTGGAGGTCCAGGATGTAGTCAATGACATGCTGCAGGATTTCCATCTTGCTGACGTTCTTGTTCTGGGGGATGCTGGGCACCAGCTCCTTCAGCTTGGAGTAGCAGTCGTTCATGTTGTACAGCAGGGAGAGCGGGTCATCCACCGGGGTCTTGCTCCGAGAGATTCCCAAGGAGTGCTCCGATAAATTCGCGTTGGTTTTCCTGAAAGACCGAACGGGGCTTATTGCTTTCATTTTGTCAGTGTTAAGTTAAGCGAGAGGGTTTGTGTTTGTCGATATCTTGCTTCTTTAAGGTCCTGTATTTGCCAGAAGATCAGCGATCGGACTGGATTACCAAGCTGTCAGTGTGGTTTATATAGGCAGCAGGTTGGGCATGCGACAAAGGCGGGACAAACGCGCTGATTGGACAAGCACAATGTGTCACTCAAAGCCTTTCAGTTATACTATTGGCTATTTGCGCTTAAACCCATCCCCTTCCCTGCCGCGTTACCAGTGGCAACACATGTTGGAGGCGGAACACAGAGGGCGCTTCAGCAGCTCCAGTGGGCAATTTGGGAAATTAAGCCCTTACCTGTTTCTGATCAAGAAAATTAATGCTTTGCATGGCTCCCAATTGAATATGGCCAAGGTGCGAGCACGCGCCAATAAATGTACCTCCAAGATATACATTTCATCTTGTAGGTTATGAAGATCAAGCGATAGTATTTCAATAAATGTGCTCACAATTATTATTCAAAACACATTTTCATTCATATATTTACGACAATGCAAATGTTTATATCTGATAATAACACATCTTAAAGATATAAATGATATTTATTTTCCAGCCATCAATCATTCTTCATTTATTGTTGACATGTGCGCGTTTGGAGGTGTGGAGCAGTGATGACAGATGCCATATCAGGCGCGTCTGATGATTCTTAATTCACTCCAGCCCGGACCGATGTGAAGGCAAGTGTCTGAGCCGAATAACAAAGTAAAATGTTTGAGTGGCAAGCGGAAACAGCCTCCACCAGAAAAACTGCTCAGACCAGCGGTACAAAAAAAAAAAAAAGACTTATGAGTGTGTGTATAAGAAAATAAAGCAAAGAGATCCGAACTGCTAGTAGAAATATAGGGTTTGGTAACTTGACGCACCTCATAATTGTTTTTTCCTTCTTTACCGTTACCAGCAATGTGTTAGATTTATCAAAGTCAAGTTTTAAATGTGATCTACTAAAATTGTGATAGTGCGCACAGTCAGATGCAAAATACAACGATCCGGACATCAGCTTTAATCCAATGCTGTTCATACTTCCGCCTTATAACAAATACAGCCAATTACTCCTAAATAGTTTTTCAGGGGTTTGTGTGTGGCAAATGTCAGTAAGGGATGTGGAGCTTTACCAAACGCAGCCATAACTTAAATGTGTTTAAAGTGGCTGTGCGTAACTAAATGCATCAGTTCTGGTCCCGTGCACTCCAGTCTTAATTGTCACCTGAGTATGTTGTGTGTCAAAGTTCATTTAGTCACGACCGATAAATGTGGCTTTCCTATCTGAGCACGTGAAGAGGTGATTAACTACTATTGACACTTTAATGTTTTCTGAATGAGCCATTTGTTTGTAGGAATTACACGCTTCATTCTTCAACTGGAGGTGGGGGCCTGTTTGATGCTGCACTAACTAATTACCCCCGGGGGCAATTGTGGACTCTTGTGATGTTACATTTCCTCTATGAAAACAACATCAATGTATCTTCAAAGAGGGGAACACAGTGTAATTCGGAAAAGAAAAGACAAC